TGTTCTGAAAACTTGGGGTGCCTTTTTATCTGAGTTTTGGCATTAAGAAGATTTGATATGGGGTGATCTCTGGGTGAGGGTGGATAATTCACCAGAATGGAGATGAATGTCTACAGTTTTAGGTATCAGAGGACAACTCAGGGAGGAGGAAGATTTGAAGGTACTTCCTTGGGGTCTGGGATAAGATGGTTTTGTGACTCTAGAAGTGATAGGACCCTGGTGGGGAGGGGATGCATGATACTTCCAGAGCACCAGCGATCCTAGCTGTGCAACAAGGTCAAGTGTGGCATGGGGTGTGGGGCGTGGTTCATGTTCTGGCAGCCACGTGGGCCTGGACAGGGGTCAGAACATGTCAGCAGCATCCGTGTGGGCTGAGCCCCGAGTCAGCATTGTGATTGGCACACAGTGCTCTAGAAATGGTATCGTCAGATACTCTGGACTGTACAGGAATCCCCAGACATCACTCTGCCTTGCACCTCCCAAAGAGATCTGCTTTAGAGGAATCTGGGGATGGGAGATTTCCTAGACTGGGTATGGTGGGGTGAGCCCCTCTGCTCCAGCAGCTGCCATTGCTGTGCCGAAGGAATACAGGGGATAAAGATGGTGGCTGGAGGACACCTGACTGAAAGCACAGTCAGAAATAGGAGCGGAGGAAGTCAAGCTTTGGGTTTTGAGGCCCCTGCCCCCTCCTGTGTGCCTGGGCTCCAGAGGAAGAGAGCAGAAGGGGCAGCTGCCCCAGGGTCCCACATAGAGCCCGCTCCCCTCTGCGGTTTCCCCCCCTACCTCACTGGAGCGAGTGGCGCCAATACTTTGGGTCCTGCCCTGACCAGTGCTTCTGTCCACACCAGCATCCCACCAAGACCCGGCCAGGCCCTCTGCCACTGGCCAGACGCCCTCCCGTTTCCCACCCTGGAGCGAACCTATAGGAACCGAGAAAGTGACTCCACAGCGCAGTCTAGTGGAGGCGGCGGGAACTGCTTCCTGCGGCCTGGGGAGGTCACGTGGCCCCTTGGGCTCCAAATCCCAGAGCCACCTGGAGGAGCCATCCGCCACCCACCCTCTCGGATGGCGGAGATCCGCCCCTGACCTCCTCTACCTCGGCGCGGGTGGAGGCCTGCCCAGCTCGTGTGGACAGCAGTGGGGGTGTATATGTGAGCAGCTGGGCTCCATGGCCAGAGGAAGGCTGTCCTCGCCCCTCTCCTCAAGTCCTCATACCCCTGCCCTTTGGGGATCCCTCCCAGGTGGAATATGTTGCCTCACTGTTCCCCTGGCTGTCCCTCTGTGTTCCCCTGTCTGTGCCTTCCGACCCTTGCCCCCAGCATCAGCCTTCCGGGCTTCAGGTCTCTTCTCTTTACTAGCCACCTTCTCACCCACCACCTTGCAAGATGGAAAAGAGCCAGGGTGGACTTTCTAAGATGTCCCTTTACCCCAAGATCAGGGCAGGGCAGGACCCAAAGAATTGGCGCCACTCGCTCACAGCCCCTTATCTCTGCTTGTTCCCCCTTGGGGCCAGGGGCTGCTGGGTGGGGCTGGTTCTCCCCCGCCCAGGTGCAGGGCCCCCAGCTGCATTTGCTGCATCCTTGTTCATTCTTTGGAAGTTTCCTGTGGGAGGTGCTGGAAGTGGGACTCGAGGGGCAGCAGCTGGGCAAAGATTTATCTATGAAGGAAATTTTGTATTGCACTGTTACCAACAAGTGAAAATCAGAATCACTTGCCGGAAATAGAAGGACATGATAGAAATAAATACTCAATTCCTTGCTGGATGCTGTTGTTCCTACAGAGTCTCAGCCCAAGGCTACCTATGGTTTAGTTAAACAGGGCGATTGACAAGTATGGAAGGTGTGGAAGAGGACAAGGTGTCCAATGGACACTGCTCCTTGACTAATAAAAAGGTCAAGAGATAGAAAAAGAAAGCACTTTCCTCCAAAGGGGTTCACTGTCAATGAACACAGTCTCTGTGTGTTGCCCAAAAGAGTCTCAGGGAACCCTGCCCCTTGAGGAGTCTAAATATGTTTTAGCTTCAGCCCATGGCTCATTGCCTCTTCCAGACCCCTCCTGAGAGCCCAGGCCTCTCTCTTTGTGCCTTTGGCTCTCTTTCTGCTCTTAGCATCTACCTGGAAGGGCTGGTCATCTCACCCTCATCTCATGCGTGTCAGGTCCCACGTGCGCCAGACACAGTGCCAGCACTGGTCAAGTACAAGAGGAGCAGGTGCAGGCACAGAGGGATTCCTGCTGTGGACATGGGTGGGGGACCTGAGATACAGTCTGAGAAACTGCCACAAAATACAAACCCAGAGGGAGGGAACCCAGGGAAGCTTCACAGAGGAGGGGGCACATGGAAGGCTTGGCAAGGGTGCATTGGAGTTTTCTGGGTAGAAAAGATGGAGAGGGACATTTCAGTGGGAAGGAATTGGAGGCCCTGAGAATTAGCCGAGGCATGAAGGATGTCTGAGCACATCATACAATTTGGTTAGAGAATTTGGGGAGCTTCAGGAGATGGAACTAGAATGGAAAGCTCTAGATGGGCCTTTAGTGCCATGAATGTGGACCTGATCTTGGGGTAAAGAGACATCTTAGAAAGTCCACCTTGGCTCTTTTCCATCTTGCAAGGTGGCGGGTGAGAAGGTGGCTACTAAAGAGAAGAGACCTGAAACCCCGAAGGCTGATGCTGGGGGCAAGGGTCGGAAGGCACAGGCCAACCCCCTAAGAGGGGAAAGCCCCACACAGTGGGAACCATCCCAGTGACAGGAGTGGGCAGATACTCCTCACCTGCTGTGTATTCCAGAAAGGCCATGCACAGGAGGAAGTGTTCAGCTGCAAGATCCAGGACTGAAAAGAAAAAGAGGAGCTTCTTGCTACCGTCACAAAACCAGCTGGTGGTGACAAGAATGTACCCGGGTGGTTAAATTTCACAACATGCCTCGATATTATCCTATTGAAGCTGTTCCTCGAGCACTGTTGAGCCACAGCAAAAACCCCCAGTCAGCATGTGAGAAAACTGAGCCAGTATCACTCCTGGGACTGTTCTGACCATCCTAACAGGGTGTCACAGAGTCAAGATGTAGTTTTCTGGAAGCAGCTGGGCAGTAGCTTGCTACTTGGGACCGGTCATCTGTCCCCCAACGAGTTCCCCTGCACAGACACACCAGAAATCTGTCATTGTCATCTCCACCAAAACTGGTATCAGTGGCGTGAAGACCCCCACACACCTCCCTGATGCTGATTTCAAGAAGAAGCCAAGTCAGCCTCAGCACCAGGCAGGTGAGCTCTTTGACACAGAACAGCATGAGGAACAGCATGAGGTTGACCAGAAAGCTGTGGACTCGCAAATTCTGCGCCACATTAAAACTCAGCTCCAGGGCCACCTCTGCTCTGTGCTTACTCTCGCCCCTGGAATTCACCCTCACAAATCGCTGTTCTAAATTTCCTACAAAGAACCTAATTAAATAATGATCTATTGAAAAGAAAAAAAGCAAGCAGGACAGACCACGTGGAAGAGGAGCAGGACAGAGGCCGGGGAACAGTGGGGAAGTGATGACAAAGGGCCAGGTGAGGGCAGAGTCCAGAGCGTTTGGGGGTGAATAATTGGGGACAGTGGAACATTTTTTGAGGGTTTCTCAAGCATCTCTTTTCAGAAATGGGTAAACTGTTACATCATCACTGAGAGGAGGGAGTAGAGGCTTGAGCAACCTGCCAGCTGGTGAGCACAGAGCTGGCTGCAGGTGGCATGGCACCAGAGCCCACTGCCCTCTGTGCCTCTCTCCTCTGGCCGCAGTGACCAGAATATGCTCTGACTTTGCCGGGATCAAGGGGTCATATGTTCCAGAAGGATGGGGGGAGCCATTCATCTCTGGAGCCCACCCAGGACTCAGGATGGGCCAGGTGCTTAGCCAAAGCCCCGGGCTTTCAAGTCCATGCTCACCTCTGGGCCCTGCGGACAGACCACAGTGGTCGAGTGGCTTGTGCTTCTGCTCGAAGGTCTGTTGGCATCAGCACCTCGGCATCTCTCAGTGCGCTTTCCCCCAAATCCTTCTTGTGAATTTGCCCTTTTTGGTGCTGGCAGACACCTTGCTGTGGAACCAGCCCAGGCTTCCCGCCTTGCCCTTGTCTCGGAGGCAGGAGGCAGGGTCGGTCTCCCCGAGGGCAGGGTCTGTCTCCCAGTCATCCTGAAGGATCCCCGAGAGCAAGTACTGGGCCCCCCCATCAGGTTGGGGATTTGTGAGCACAGGGTCTGGACTTCCCAGTCATACTGGCAGCTCCTGTGGGCAGGGGCTGTGCCTCCCCATTTCCTGCAAAAACTCCTTGGTGCCCTGTTCCAAGTGGCTCAGCCCACATTAGGCCCAAAATGAGGGCAGGGAGGGGTTTGGACAGTAACTGTCATCAGTAGGGAGGCGTGAACTCTACTCCGGGGGTTTCTGTGCTGGAGGGGCTCAGTCTTAGATCTGCTCTCCAGCCGTAGATTATCAAACTCCAGGATCTAGGTCACCCCCTTGGCAATGCTGCTGATTTATGGTGCCCAGACAGCCTAATATCATTAAATTACCCCACACAATGGAGAGAGGCTGGGCCACCTCCCGGCAGGCACCGAAGGACGCGGAGCCTGGGGCAGCTGGCGGCCTCCCGGATCCCAGAGCGCCTGGGAGTCTGGGGGAGTCCGGCTCGGGCAGCGGCACACCCAGGCGTGCCACCTTCAGTCGCGGTATAAGTAGGCAGCCTTGGGGACAGCTCTGTACCCGTGCTTGGAACCAGCAACACTGACCCACTGCTTCCCACCTTTGAGCTGCGCCATGAGTTGCCGACAGTCCAGCTTGTCCAGCAGCGGTGGCTGCGGAGGTGGCATGAGGGCCTCGTCCAGCAGCCGCTGTGTTTCCTCGGGGGCTGGTGCTGGAGCGGGCCGCTCTAGCTCTTCCAGTGGCTATGGAGGAGGGAGCGCTGGGGCTTGTGGGAGGGCAGGTGGAGGCAGTTTTGGGTCCAGCTGTGGTGGAGGGTCTGGGGCCGGTATGAGGGGTGGCAGCTCTTGTGGCAGCTTTGGTGGAGGTGCTGGGGGCTTTGGGAGTGGGTCTGGAGGCAGCTTTGGGGGATCTGGAGGCTTTGGGGGCAGCATTGGTGGTGGTTCTGGAGGTGGCTTTGGGGGATCTGGAGGCTTTGGGGGTGTTTCTGGAGGAGGCTTTGGGGGTGGTTCTGGAGGTGGCTTTGGAGGGTCTGGAGGCTTTGGGGGTGTTCCTGGAGGAGGTTTTGGGGGGTCTGCAGGTGGCTTTGGGGGTGGCGTTGGTGGTGGTGATGGTGGCATCCTGGGTGCTGATGAGAAGACCACCATGCAGGGCCTCAACTCCCGCCTGGCCTCCTACTTGGAGAAGGTGCAGGCACTAGAGGAAGCCAATACCCACCTGGAGAATAAGATCCGGGAATGGTATGACAAACAGGGGCCCAAGAACGTCCCCAAGGACTACTCCTGTTACTATGACACTATGGAGGACCTCAAGAAACAGGTAGGTGGGAGACTGCTCCCCCAGCGCCCCCTCCACTCATGCACAAGCTTTATCTTCTGAAATGATAAGATGTTTAACTCTAAGCTCAGAAAATAGCCAGGGAATCCATCTTTTGGAAACTGAACTTTCATCAGTAAGAGCCTCGTGCTTGGCTCCTGATGACCTGGTGCTGTGACCTTGTGCTGTGCTCTGGGCTGTCATTGCCATGTTCCCAGCTCTCAGAGTCTCAGCAGAGCAGGGGAAGGTTAATATGGGTGACTTGGGAGCCTCCCCATGGCCTGGGCGCAGCTCGGGAGTGTGGAGGCAGCCTGGCAGGAGGGCAGCCAGGAGGCTCCTCTTAGAGCCAGGGGTCCGGTTCTGGGTTGGCCACCAACTTACTGTGTGGCCACAAGAAACCCAATGCCTCGCTGGACCTGTTCTGTACCTTTAAATGCAGAGGAGGGGCAGACCATCTCTCAGCTTCCTGCTGGCTTAGAACTTCTGTAATCTTATGGAAAAAAAGAAGAGGTAAATTCTGTTGCCAAAAACACGGATCATGTGGCTCAGGCGAGGGGAGTGTCTGTGCCTGTCTTTCCTCTCACTCTGTAAACATTCAGAGATTTCTACTTTGGGAAACTAGAAACTATTTCCCTTCTTACTCCTCCTGGGCTTCTGTAGGGGTCTGGCTTGGTCTTTCCCTCTTTGCTGGACCTAGAGATGTATGCTCAGATGGTGGAGAGGATCTAGAACTCGGGATGGAAGTCACCTCTCCACTCATCCACTCATCCATCCATCATCCATCCATCATCCATCCATCCATCCATCCATCCATCCATCCATCATCCATCCATCCATCATCCATCCATCATCCATCCATTCAGCCATCCATCCATCCATCATCCATCCATCATCCATCCATTCAGCCAGCCATCCACCCATCCACCCATCCATCCACCCATCCATCCATCCATCCACATGTCCATTTATCCATTTAATTTAGTGAGTTTTAATTTAATTCACTGAATTTAGTGAGTTGTTGCTCTGGGAAGACAGAGGGATGTACCAGACTTGGTCTCTGCCCCCCAGGAAATCAGTAGCTAATTCCCCGTTTTCACCTGTTTCCCTTGCCTTCACACCTCCTGGTGAATAGCCTCTGGATGTGTTTTTTGTTCCACCCCCAAATCTTTTCCATATTTTTATTCATGTACAATCTTAGCCATCCTTCGGGCACCAACTCGGTTGCCTCTTCTTACCTCAATTTCCCAAAGCCACAGTTGATCTTTTTTCCTTGAACCCTTCTAGGATATCTGGAACATCATAGTTGACTGTGGGTTCCTTGTGGAGATGTGTCTCAGTGATCCCTAATCCCCCCAGTGCCCTTTGTCACAGCACTTCAAATATTTATTGAGTGACTAAATGAAGGCCACATTGACCATCCTTGGGGAAGGGGCAACGACTCTCTGCCATGTACCAGCTGCTGGAAGCTTCTCCTACCTCTTGAGCATCTTCTGGATGGCGTCTTGACCTTCTGTGGCTATGTCTGGCCTCTTGTCCTCCCAGCAGTGGGTCATGGCCTTGGGCATGGGTTCCACACTGTCTTCTCTTTTTTTAGATTGTGGACCTCACGGTGACCAACAACAAAACCCTCCTGGACATTGACAACACTCGCATGACAGTGGATGACTTCAGGATGAAGTGAGTCCTCCTGCCTCTCCCTGTCCTGTCCTCATCCTTCCCCTACGCCACAGTGCTCTGACAGTCCCTGGCGTGGGGTTGGTGCCTTCTTGCTCACCCCTACCCCTGCCTGGCCTGCAGGTTTGAGATGGAGCAGAGCCTGCGCCTGTCAGTGGAAGCTGACATCAACGGCCTGCGGAGGGTATTGGATGATCTGACCATGCAGAAGTCTGACCTGGAGATGCAGTACGAGTCTCTGCAGGAGGAGCTGGCCGCCCTCAAGAAGAATCATGAGGATGTAGGGTCATGGCGACTTCCGGCTTTTTGGGGAGAGGGAGGAACAAAAGTATAGAGCCCTTGGGGGTGTTAGGGGGGCTATGGAACACTGCCTGGAAACTCCCTCTCCCTTACTCTTGAGGACACTCCCGGCTCCTCCTTGACACTCCTATCGTGGTGGTTGGGCTTTGGCTTCACAACTGTGTCCCCCTTTTGTTCTCTGGGGAGAGCAGAGGGAGCAGGTGAAAGGTGGTGGGAAGACTCCACTTCCTGACTCCATCTCCCTCCATCCCTGGCAGGAGATGTGCCAGATGACCGGGCAGAGCAGTGGGGAAGTCAGCGTGGAGATGAATGCCGCTCCCAGCGTGGATCTCACCCTGATCCTCAACAACATGCGCCAGGAGTACGAGGAGATCAGTGCTAAGAACCGCAAGGACATCGAGCAGCAATACGAGGCTCAGGTGGGTAGGGGCCGCCATTCAGCCTCTGGTCCTCTGCCTGGATCCCTGCATTCACCACGCCCCCCCTTTACCCTCCACTCCCTTCACCCCCACCCTCCCTCTCTCCTGCTCGCTGTCATCCATCCAGCTGCCGATTCGTCCATTGCACACAAACATGATTAGTGAGTAGCTGTTCAGCACCAGGTTTTATGTAAAGTGCTGATGTCTCAGAGTCTGTAAGAGTACCACCCCGAGAACCTTCTTTTATTACATGTGTGTCAACAAAGACAAAACATGAACAACTTACCCAGGGCTTTGTGCTAGGAGATTCTAGTCGAGGGGACGAGTGTGTCTCTCGCCTTACCCTGAGCTCCTTGCTGCCTCCCCTTCTCCCTAGGTCTCGGGCTCTTACCACAGAGCCTGTTGCATGCAGACATGCCTGTAGTGTGTGTGTGTGTGTGTACGAAATAATGTTAGAAAGGTGGTTTAGGGACAAAGTGTGAACAGTCTTGAAGCTTCGCAGAAAGGGAATGTTAAGTTGGGAGAACGAGACAACCCCGCTGGGCTGGAGGGAACCAAGGCTCAGAAGGACTTGTCCTTGACTTTGGTTCAGCCTTGGCCTTGGAGCTGAAGATCCAGGCAAGTAGGGGAAGAACTCGTTGAGTCCTGCCCCCTTTCTCTGTCTTGTCCTCCATCCTTGCCCTACTCCATGGTGCTCTGATGGCCCTGGGGCAGGGGTTGGTGCCCTCTAGTCGGTTGGCAGCCTCTGGTTCATGCTGGTCCTCACTGAGGTCTGGGTTTGCAGATGAACAAGATGCATCAGGAGGTGGCGACTAATAGCCAGGAGACGGACACCTGCAACAAGCAGGTGATCCAGCTGCGGCAGACCTTCCAGGCGCTGGAGATCGAGCTGCAGTCTCAGCTGAGCATGGTTGGTAGTCCTGCTCCAGCCCCTCTGCTGGGAGGTGGTGGGGGCACAGCCAGCTGGGCAGGAGTGGGTCGAGCGGGAGGGGAGAGCGATGGTGTAGCATCCTCCTTAAGCCTCCTCTTGCCCCTAGAAATCGGCCCTGGAGAAATCCTTGGAGGACACCAAGAACCGCTACTGTGGGCAGCTGCAGCAGATCCAGGAGCAGATTAGTGCCCTGGAGGCCCAGCTGGCTGAGATCCGGGGGGAGACTGAGTGCCAGAATCAGGAATATACCCTTCTGCTCGGCATCAAGACACGGCTGGAACAGGAAATTCAGACCTACTGCAGTCTCCTGCAAGGCGGCCAGGATGACTTGTAGGTGCCCCGGGCCTCCATGGGCCCCCTGGGAATTGCTAGGCCCCTGATGCTACTTCAGTTGTTGTGGATGGAGGCAGCTGCGAAAATCCCTGTACACAGGCCTGATGGGCTGAGGCCTTCATCCTATGAGGGCATCTCTGGCTTCTGGGCTTTGGGAAAGGAGGCTGGTGACCCAAGAGAAGGGACTGCTCCCTGCTGTGGGAGAAGCTCTCCCTTGCCTCTGTGCTCTGCTTTGCTGGAAGGAACGTGTAGGAGAGATGATGTTTAGTCTTTTTTTTTTTTTTAAAGATTTATTTATTTCATACAAGAGCTGGGGTACAGGCCAGAGATGCGGGGGAGGGGTGAGAGGATCCACCAGAGACAGAGTGGGGAGTAGAACAGGGGGATTGACTGAAATACACTGCTGAGGGGAGCAGTGGGCGAGACAGGAGAGGTCTGCTGCGCCATGTGGGTTTCTCCCTGACTGGCCAGGGATCAAACTCATGCTGCAAAGGCTGCAGATCGCTTCATAGTGCAGTGTTTAACCCCCTGCCCACCAGGGAGGCCCCCACGTTTAGTCTTGATACTGTGCTTGTGTTTGTATGCGGGCTCACTAGTTTTGTCTGTTTTCTTTCCTGCTCAGTGATTCTTCTGGAGCTCAGCAAATTGGCTTAGGAGGTAGCGGAGGAAGTGGATCCAGGGGACAAAGTGGAGGTGGTCATGGAATAAGCAATGGAAGTGGATCCAGAGGAGGAAGTGGAGGTGGTCACGGAATAAGCAGTGGAAGTGGATCCAGAGGAGGAAGTGGAGGCAGCCATGGTGGAGGAAGTGGATGCGTGGGAGGAAGTGGAGGCAGCCATGGTGGAGGAAGTGGATCTGGAGGAGGAAGTGGTAGCAACTGTGAAGAAGGAAGTGGATCCAAAAGAGGAAGTGGAAGGCTGCAGTCCTCATCCTTGAAACCTGGTAACTGTGATGGCGCACAAGGTAAGGGACAACTCTAGGATGTGGGAGGCACAGGTGTTACTTGTCAGAATATCACTTCTTTTTGAGTATCTTTGAGTTTCTCAGGGGTACATATTCTGAACAGAACTGAATTTTAGGGAGATCTCTAGACTTACCCTGGTCCTGAATTGCTCGTTGTTTTTGAGCAAAATGAAGCTAAGGCCAGATCAATATGTGACATGAGCATCACTGGCACAGGAGGTGGGTGGGAAACTGGGCATTATGTTGTTTATTCCCACATCCATTTTACAGATAGGAAAATGAGGTTCAGAGAAGATAAGCAGTGTATTCAAGGTCATACAACCCATAAATGAGGGACTGAACCTGTGGGACTCCACGAGGGGCACTGGTAACCATCCCAAGAATGGGGAGACCCCATCAGCAACAGTTCAGGGGGTGCAGTCAGTGGTTGGCTCACACACACCAGTTGTACAATGCAACAGCCCAAAGGGGCATACAATGAGTGAAATAATCTAAATTTAAGAAAGAATCACTCAGGTGAATGGTTCCAGGTCAGAGGAGACTTCCCCTGGTGCATGTTGAATTTTATAAAATACAAACTTCATATGAAATTGTTATACAGGACTAGGGGACAGGACTGAATGTGTTGAGGTTAGAGGAACCTGGACGTGCCTGGGAGCTGACCTTCTCTTAGGTGGCCAGTTTTGTGTGTCAAGTAGCCTTGCAGGGCTGTGGAGATGCATCTGGGGTGGGGGCGGGGCCATCTTTGCCTCACTATTGGATAATTTGCTAACAAGACTAACTGGAGGAAGGGGCTGCCTCTTGATCTGTCATCTTGAGAAATGGGAGACCAACTGCCAGGGCAGGAGAACATCAAGGCTGGAGGGGACCACTAGGACCCCAAGGTCTTTCCATCTCAGGAGTCTCCAGCCCATTGAGCCCCAGTTTCCTTGCTCCCAGTTCTCATCTTTCTCCACACCCCAGCCTCTGTCTCCTGCTCCAATCCCTAGCTTCTCCTTGTCACCGCCTTCTGTCTCCACAGGCTACCGGCTGCAATACTAGAGCCCCTCTAAACGTCTACCCAGCCCCAACTGAGGACCCCCAGACAGACAGCCCCTGCGTGAAGCCTGCTCATTGCATCCTGGCATCCGGAGTATCCAGCAACAAGCCCAGGGGCTGGTTTGGGAGGGGCTGACCAGGCTTGTGTGTGCTTCTGGCTGCCCATTGGCTCCCTACCATGGCGACACCTCTCTTCCCCTGACTGGTGTGGGGTGACCCCCTCCCTCCCTGATGCTGACTTCCTAATAAAACTTTCCTACTGCACATCAAACATGGATCTTAATTCATTTGTTCTTTGGGATTAAGAAGGATGAAGAATAGAGGCAAAGAGAGAATCAGTTGAATCCACCTCAAAAAGAGCCAGTTATATCTTCTATGCTCACAACAAAGCATCACATGATTTAGTGGCTTGAAATAACAACCTGTTATTGAATTCATGCTTTTGCAATTGGCAATATGGACTGGAAAGTTTTGTTTTCCTTGAATTGTGGTCGGCTGAGAGTCAGATAGGGGGCTCTGCCTTGGGTCTTGGTTGCATGCTGATTGGGGGTGCCGGGGGTGAAAGAGCCATAGGACGCTCATCCTCCAGGCAGGTTGAGCAAGTGTCCCGAGATAATGAGGAGAAGTGTGCAAGGCCCCTGAGGCTTAGGTCAGAGCAATCATTGTGACTGCATTTCATCGGCCAAGGCATGTTATAACCCAGGCCATGTTCACGAGTAGTGGGGAGAAACGTTTCTTGGGGGGAAGAACTGCAAGGTCATATGGCAAGGGCATGGGTCTAGAGAGGGCAGTAACTGAGGCCAGTTTTTGCAAACATCCTGTCATAGTCTGTCAGCAGGTCTTGTGTTAGCTACAGAGGAAAATAACACAAATGATGTGCTTTTTGCTTTGGAAGATATCACAGATGGTAAAAAAAATATAGATGCAAATAAATAAAGTGCTTTAAGGCAGAGTAAGGAACATTCCACAAGACAGCAGCCAACAATGTTCCCCTTGGACTCTGATAAACAAAACTGCCTTTGCTGCCTATGGCCATTCAGCTGACATTCCAGAAACTACAACTGCATTCCACACCTCTCTAGATGGGTGGGGGAGATGACTCTAGACACATGATTTGGGGTGCAAAGGTCCTAAGATGGGAACATATTTTATGTGTTTGAAGAATAAGGAGGTGAAGGTAGTCGGAGTAGAGTGAGTGAGGAGATAGAGTAGAGGAGCGTGGTGAGGTAAAGGGTGCTCGCATCATGTGGGGCCCTCTAAGAAACTTGGCTTTGTTGCCAAGTGAGGTGGGGGAGGGCACTGCATGCAGAGTTGGAATGAAGGGGTCCAAGATGGGAGATGCCAGAGGATGGAGAAGCCCAGATGCTGGGTTCATTGGAAGGGAAGCTTCGGGGGAGCTAGCCAACCTGATCGCTGCATCAGTCCTTACCTGAGCAAGTGATGGATGCTCATCGTGCTGAGCCAGGGAACGATTTGAGGGTATCACAGCATCTGGCAGTGATGATCTGGTTAACACACTGGGCTTTGAGAGGAGACAGCATGCTCTGAGTCTTATCTTAAAAGACTCTTTGGCTATTATTTGTCAGGAGCCAGCAGGGCAGGGTAGAAGCAGAGACCAGTTTGGAAGGAGGTAATCCAGGTGGAGACTGAAGCTGAGGTTAAGTTGCCCTGAGACGCTGAGATCAAACAGAATGTATCTAACATTTCTTAAAGACTGCTTCCACAGACACAGCAGAGCTGGGTGCCTATCTGCGGATGATACAACCCAGGCATGTGCAGAGGTGGCTGACCTTAACGTGATCCCCAAGCTGAAACTCAGAGACTGCTGATGCAGAACCAGAAAAAAAAAACCAAACCAAAACAAACCAACAACCAACAACCAAAACAAAACACAAAAACAGGAAACAGCTCCCTGGATGGCACTGAAAGACGAGGGTGTCCATCAGCAGGCCCCTCCCAAACCCTGTTATCTGACAAAACGCCATACAGAGACCATTTTATGAATATATAATCAAACTTTGCCAAGTCCATAATTCCCTCTTTCCTAATCCTTTTATGCTCCTTCTGCTCCTCCTCTAAAGTCCCTGCTCCTTCAGGCTGGAGAGGCAGATCTGAGGTTTTTCTCCTTTGTCCTTGCCAGTTGACCCTGCAATAAAGCTTTTTCTTTTCTCAGAAGTCTGTGTTAGAGCACTGGCTCTCTGAGCACCGAGCAGCAAGCCCATCGCTCAACAAAGACTGTGGCCCTTGGAGAGGAGATGGTCAGCGGTGTCAGATTATGGACATCATCTGAAGGAAGCACCATCAGGATTCTGGCAAGACTGTGTTGGTGTAAAAGAATGTCAGGAGTCAGGACGTCTCCGTGTCTTTTGTCTGAGTGACTGGATAACAGGGGTTGTCACTTACGGCCATGGGAAGGCTGCAGGGGAGATGGCAGGGGTAGAAGACGAGTTATAGTCAGATATGCTGAGTTTACAATGTCTATTAGACACTGTTATGGGCTGAAGTGTGCCCCAAGTTTTATCTGTTGAAGCCTTGACCCCTGGTACAGTCAGAATGTGATGTGTTTGGAGATAGGGCCTTCCGTTAAAATGAGACCGTGGTGGTGGGCCCTGATCCAGTCGACTGGTGTCCCTATAAGAAGAAATTTGGACATACAGAGAGACACCAGGGGTCCACTCCCACAGAAGAAAGACCTTGTGGAAGGACACAGCAAGAAGGCTTCAAGTCAAGGAGAGAGGCCTCTGAAGAAATCACCTTGATTTTGGGCTTCTAGTCTCCAGAACTGTGTGAAAATATATTTCTGTTGCTCAATCCATCCAGTCTGTGGTATTTTGGGGTGGCACCCTGAGAAGACTAGTACAGACACTTGGGTATAGATTTCTAGGAGTCTCTTGCTGGCAATCACCCCTTTTCCTACAGAGATCTAAACCCAACCTGAAGCCAGCTTGTTAAGGGAGGTTGGGTGAATCATAAAGTCTCCAGGAAGAACTCAGGAGAATG